TCGCCATGGTGTCGTTCTGATGTAAAAGTTTAATAATCATTGAAAGTAAGACTTATTCTTTAATAAATGATTAAAATTTGAATTTATTGTTTTTTTTTGTTTACATTGTTTTTCTCAATTTTGTCCCTTACTTTTGGACGATCCTATTTTGAAAATAAATAAATAATTGTTATAATTCTTTTTCTATCCTTTGCAAATGATTCAAATTTTAGTATGTTATTATGGATGATAACGACTACCAGTTGTCAAAATTTCAGCTTTTCACAGTTGTTATTTCTAACAAATATTAGGTTTTAAAATTTTGTCCCTTAGTTTTGGACGCTACTGTATATATATATATATATATATATATATATATATATATATATATATATATATATATATATATATATATATATATATATATATATATAATATTCTTTTTTTTTTAAAAGATAAATCCTATACAGAATATTTTTCATTTTTAAAATTTTTGTCCATAAGAATATAAATATGGAAATTAGAGGACTGATTTATCGAACCATCAATTAAAATGATTTGTAAGGATCTTTTATAATTGGAAACAAAATATATATCTTCTCGATATTGAATGGTCCTTCCCAAATTCAGTATATCCATAATAGTTATTCCAACGGACTGTACTCAAGAACTAAAATTGACATCCCCATATTTCTAGAAGAATCATTTAACTCCTCGAGTTAAGTTTTCGTCCATAATGGGTATGTCGCTTGTGTCATATTTGTACGGTCCGGTTCGATTCTCGCTTTTGGATTTGACACTTTTGATGAATCCCAAAAATATGACGAAACGGCCATCCAGTGTTTTCTGCATTCTGTTTAGGATTTTTCTAAACTCAATGAATTAATTTTGATTATTCAAATCAAAATTTACTTAAAATATATATATATATATATATATATATATATATATATATATATATATATATATTATATTAATTATTTTGTTTATCATACCTCTCTCGGTGTTAAACCCTCCCAATTACTGAACAAGAGTTGAAAGCCAAAAATTTCCAATTTTCAAATGTAATTCAATCGAATATCTCCAATTACCCTGATCTAACCATTTATCATGATATTCCTTTACATATGTGTGTGTCAATCTTATCTGCTCTTGCACCAAATCTTCCGAAACCCCCTGCATCCTAAAATGCTTCTGCCTTGTCTTGGGAGCACAATGTAAATATATATATATATATACCTATATATATATATATATATATATATATTATTATATATTTTATCCTCAGTTTATGATCTTTCGAATGTTAGTATATATTGAGAAATAAACCTTTTTTTTTAAAACACTTTTTTTAACTTCCTCATCCCTTTCTGATGTTAGAATCCCTTCTGGTTTATCAAAAAATAAAATTTTTCCTTGTTAAGTGATTAATTTAATTTATCCTGTCAATTTTAGCATTCAAAAGAACTCTTATTGAAATCAAAACTTTCTTTATAAACCTTCTCATTTTCAACCATAAAGCATAACACCATATACATATATTTATTCATTTTAAGAACCAATTATAAGCTATTTTAATCTTTTATATATATACAGAGTTATTGTGTTCATTATATATAACTTCCAGAAATAGTAACAAAATAAATAATGGTTTCTGGAGATTTGCTAGATAAAAACACAATACCAACTTGCATTATTTATAAGATATTTATGCTGTATTCTCTATATCTGAAATTCATATTCACATGTACGCTTATGTATATCCATATCTATTTTATGTTAATATATATTGACATATATAATATTTTATAGATATACATTAAAACCAATATATATATATATATATATATATATATATATATATATATATATATATATATATATTAAAATTTATTTATTTCAACTATTCTTGTTCGATGCAAAAAGAAAAGTGCCAAATTTTCAAAGTCTGTAATCTGTATTTCTCATTGTATTTGCAACAAACACGTTCCATTAATGAGACCCCTGTCGCCATAGTAGAGTTATGAAGACTTTTAATAAAATGGAGTCTTAAAAACTAACTTCCATCAAAATATCCATTAAAAACAGCTGCCTATTCCAAACACTTTCATGCAAAAGCTCTGGACAAAAGTTTTGTTTAAAATCGTTCTATATTTGGCATAAATTCCTTTTTTCATCGTTGCAATCTCCTTATTTTAATCAGCTATTTATTCTTGTTTTGTTATCAATATTTCGTCTATTATTTATCTCTATTTTTCATTTATCTTTAATTCATTTTTATTTGTTTATTCTCTCTCATTTTTTTTTTCATCTATCCACTTTTTCTTTTATCTATCTATCTATCTATCTATCTATCCCGCTCATTTATTATTATATCTGTGTCTATCTATTCTATCTATTTCTGTTTATATGAATTTGAGTCATTCATCTATCTTTTATTTCTATCTAGCTATCTAAAAACTCTTATTCTATCTTGATCAAATCCGTTTTGTTCGTATCTGAATATTCTATTTGTTTGTTTATCTATCTGAATTCTGTTCTTAACAGGTCAATCTAATCGATTTACTAGTATAAAATTCTTTCATCTAAATCTATCTATCATTTTGATATTATCCCGCCGATTCTGCTTGTTCTTATCTATCTATAAATTTTGTTCGTATTTATTCATTAATCTATCTATCTATTTCTATCTGTTTAAGTGTCCTGTATTACAATCTATCTCATATCTATTCTTTTTATTTTATATCTTTTGAATATATATATAGTATCAAATATATATATATAAGTTTTTTTTCTTCATATATATATAATTAGTTCTTTATTATTATATTCATTCTTATCTAACATCTATCTTTCTTATATTTAGTAAACTGGAAAAATCTATCTGTCTATCTATTTATCTTTGTGTCTATCTATCTGTTCATCTATATTATATATTATATATTTTCTATAAATTAATCTCATTAACTGAAGTTTTTCTATCCATCTATCTACCTATCTATCTCTTATTCTCTTCATTATCTATTAGGGTCATGATCTTTCTAGATGATCTTTTTCTCTATCTCAATATTTTTATTTTTTAGATCATTTCTGTTTATCATTTTCTTGTTATTCTATTGTCCTATTTGTTTATATGATATTTTATAAAAGTTAATTTGTCCAACATGAGCTTTAGAATTATGCTAAACAACATTTTATATTGTCTTTAAAAGTATTAATTTATGGCTATTCTATCTGTCTTTCCCTTTAAAATAGAACTTATACAGAAATTATGAAATCGGTATAAACATAAAAAAGAAAGAAAAATAAAAAAGAAAGAAAAGAAAACAAAAGAGAATAGATTTTGGAATTATTTTAACCAAAATAAATGAAAAGAAAGAAAGAAAGAATGAAAGAAGGAAAAAGAGAACAGGAAGAATTGTCAATGGCAAGACAAAGATAAATGGGAAAAGAGAGAAAGAAAGAAAGAAAGAAAGAAAGAAAGAAAGAAAGAAAGAAAGAAAGAAAGAAAGGATAATAGCTCTCAAAAATAAATGGATACGGAAAGAAATATAGAAGGGATACTAACAAGCAACAAGAAAAATATTCTAATTACAAGATAATGATAGATGTAGAAAGAAAGAAAGAAAGAAAGAAAGAATAACAATCAAAACAAAGAAGGAATGAAGCGATAATATCAATACATATAAGGAAAGACTGAAAGAAAAAAAGAAATATTAATGGTAAGAAAAATATAGACACGTACATAAAGAAATAACTAAAAGGGATAATATCGAGCAAAAATAAAGCATGTGAGAATCAAATATCAAAGAAAGAAAGAAGACATATTAGCAAGCAACATGGCAATATGGTAAGAAACAAAGAAAATGTTAATGGCAAAAATAAGATAGATGTGAACAAAAAGAAAAGAAAAAGAAATATTACATACAAAAGCGAATGAATGAGAGAAAAGAAAAAAAGAAAGAAACAAAGTTTAATTGCAAGCAACAAGACAGTTATGGTAAGAAAGAAGATAAGAAAGAAAGAAATAAGTTTAAGAATGTTAATGGCAAGAAAAAGAAAGAAAATTTAGCATTAACTTATAGGAATAAATTACTTAATGAAATGCAATAATGTATCAATATGAATGAACAAAAAGTGGCCATAATTGAAACAAAGGAGTTCAGAAAGACTAACAAGAAATGTACCCCTTATGAAGAAAGCAATACTTGAATAAATGAAGAAAGGCTATCTTTAGCGAAAGTGGAATCAGAACATTATAACGATTAACGAATAAGGAAATTATTTAAAATAGGGACAGGAAAGATAGCAAGGCACGAAATGATAGAAAGGACTGATCAACAGTAAAATCGAAAGAGAAAGGGGAAAAAAGAGAGAGAGAAAAAATAATAAAATACCAAGAAACAAAATAACAATAGAGTCGGAGTTGAAAAACAAGAATGAAGAACATAACATGGCGCGTAAAGCATGAGGAAGATCGCTAACAATGGCGTCATTCTGGAAGTAAAAGAATAAGTTGAAAAACGTGAATAATTTGGCAAATGCAACACTTAAAAAGATAGACAATGGCGTCCAAAAGAAAAAAATTCGGTGATCATCTGGGAAAAAGATCATGGTCGGGCCTCTGCACTGAATAAAATCCAAAAAACACGGATGGTAAAGACGTATTCAAAGTTGCGGGCAGCCTAAGGGCATTATGGAATTTATTGGTTTTGAGCGGGAACCGAGCGTTTTAGTGCGAAATCCACGCTTTTTAGTACGGATTTTAAACAAAAGGAAAAAGGGATCCACTGTATAGTAGTTTCTCTTGAACTTAACTTCTAAGATTGAATGAATATAGAAAGAGAAGAATATAATTATAAGAAGTTTTGTAGAGGATAGAAGAAGAAGAAGGGGTGAAGAAAGGATGTTTTAATCAAAATGAGAAATAAAATGAAAAATACGTGACAAGAAAAGAAGAAGGAAGACGGATAAGAATTAAATGAAGACCCTGAAGGATGGAGGAAAACAAGAAGACCTCTTTAAGAAGAAGAAGAAGAAGAAGAAGATTCAGGAGGACAAAGAAAAAGAACAAGGAGGAGGATGAAGAAAAAAAGATGAAGAAGAGTTAAGAAGACGACGAAGAAGAAGAAGAAAAAAGAACGAGGAGGAGGTGAAGAAAAGAATATGAAGAAGAAGAAGAAGAAGAAGATATGGGAAGAAGAAGAAGAAGAGAAAGAAAAGTGAAACAAAACCAACAAGGAGGAGGAAAAAGAAGAAGAAGAAAAAGAACAACGACGAAGAAGAAGAAGAAGAAGGAGGAGGAGGAGGAGGTGAAGAAGAAGAAGGAGGAGATGAAGACGAATAAGAAGAAGGAAGAGGAGAAGAAGAAGAAGAAGAAGAAGAAGAAGAAGAAGAAGAAAAGAAGGACAGCCACAAAACCAACAAGGAGGCGGAGGGGAAAGGGGGAAGGAGAAGAAAAAAAAGAAGACGAAGAAGAAGGAGGAAGAGGAGGTGAAGAAGAAGAATGAGGAGATGATGATGATGAAGAAGAAGAAGAAGAAGAAGAAGAAGAAGAAATTTAAAACAATAAAAGAAAAAAGAGGAGAAAAGGGAAAAGTGTGAAAACAAAAAAAACCTAAGACCTGAAAAGTCACTGTAGAAACGTAAAAAAATGCTGCTGCAACTACTAATAATACTAAGAGTTGTAGTATTAGTATCATTTTTCTTATACTACTTGTAGTAGTAGTAGTAGTAGTAGTGGTGGTAGAAGAAGAAGATGAAGAAAAAGAAGAAGAGAAAAAGAATGAAAATATAAAACAAGACATAAAACGAAGAAGAAATCAATGAAAAGTGAATAGAGAAAACAAATTATGTGAGATAAAGAATCCAGCGTGAAAGAATGTAAAGATGGCAAATAACAACTTACAGAAAAATCAGAAGAAGAAGCAAATGAAAAAGAAGAAAATAATGTACAGATATTCGAAGCTGTTAGAGAAGACAAATAGCAATTGCAGGGAAAAATTAAAATTAAAAAAAAAAGAAGAAAAAGAAAAAATGTCGGATGAAGTAAAGAAAGAGGAATGAAGAAATATAAAGAAAGGGGAATGAAGAAAAAAGATAATGAAAGCAGAAAAAAGAACAAGTAGAAATCATATACAAATGTTAAATTGGAAAAAAGACAGAAGGAATGGTAAAGAATTGTAAAAAAAAAAATATAGATTTTAATTTTAGAAGAAAAAAAATGAAGAATTTTAGGTATTTAATTTTTTAACCAAAGAATAAGAGAAATGAATAACCTGTATCAGTAGATGAAGATATAAGTCTTTTTTTTATTTTTAAGAGATAAGAAGAAATAGATTTTCCTAGCTGTAATGCATTGAAAAGAGATTATTCAAATTTTTTCTTTTTAATTTTAAAAATAATATTTAATTTTTTAAATTTTAATTCTAATTTTTATTTAAAAATGACTTAGTAGACTGAAGAGAAACAAAATTTGTTTGATCAACCAAACTCTTCCCTAAATATTTTGAATTTTCTATTTTTTAAAATAAGTATGTCTAAATAATATGTACACCAATTTAAAATCAGGCATTTTAGCTAAAATTTTTATCTTTCTGAATATCAATATAAAATGGATTAACGTCTTTGAATTTTAATTTAATTTCAAACAAAACTTGGTCACAAGAAAAATGGAAAAGTTTTTTCCCTCTCTTAGTTGAAGAACATCTTGTGCTTCGTTTTAATTTCATGAGAAAAAATTTTTTTGTTTCTTGACTTAGAAAGAGAAAAGGGTTAAAAATTATCACTAGTTTTATGAACCTGGCTGTTTATCATTTTAACAGAAAATTAAAAAAAATTATCCTTGAATACAAAATCGGAATAAAATGAAAATGGTTTTAGGATTTGTTTTCTTCATTGGTTTTCGTTTATTTTTGAGGAAAACTTGATGATGATTGTTTTTCCTAATAGATTATTGAATGAGAAGCATCTTTTTCAAGGGTATTTCCTGAATTTTTAGATCATTGTTTGTTTTATATCATAGAAGAAGATTTGCTTAGTTATGAACGATATACCTTTTCTTTAATTTAACATTTGAGATCAGATTGTCCAACATTGTTTTCTAAAAAAAGAGAGATAGGAGATAATATCCATCCAAAGAGGAAAGATTGTAAATTAGAAAGTTAATCAACAGGATAGATTATCGATAATGAAACGTGCTTGATAGATAGTGATCTATAAAGAAGATTATTGAAAGATTATCTATTTTGACTATAATCGTCAAGATGAGAAAAATAGTTATTAAATAGATTTTAACATTTAGATAGAATGAGGGATAGAGAAACGATCGGATATATTAAGAGGGGAAATAAACAAGATAGAAAGATGTTAGAAAATAAAATTGATAGATAGAAAACATTTTGAAACGATTCGGATAATTCTTTTCAAGATATTTTTTGCAAAAAGATACTGGTGATAGATAGAGAATAGCGGCTTAAATTTAACAATTGGACAAAGATCTAATAATGACTGAAAAACGTTCAATTTGGTTTAGATACATAAAATCATCACTAGATCCGTTAATAAAAATTTTAAAAAAGATAAATCAGATAGATATTTGAAATATGTTAATAGTTAAAAATATAATGACATTTTTATTATCTTTTTTAACATTATATATCGTTAAACAATTTTCTGAAAGTCATAGATAGAAAGATCAAATATCATAAAATATTTTAAATAAAAGGGATGAGAAATTTAAAAACAATAGATAGAAAAATAATAACAGATAGATAGAAAGAATGACAAATTTTGATAATAAAAACAAAGAAAATTGATTTTAGCAAAAAATAGAAATAATATATTTTTTTATATATGTTTTAATAATATAATATATTATATATTTATATTTAAAATATTGAGATGAATATTTAAATTGGGACTATCTATATTTTACCAGAGAAATTACAGAGTTACACCTAACAAAATCATTTAATTAAATTTAAACGCCGTTGTTTGATTTATATTATATAAAAAAATAATTTATATATATTTATGAACATTTATAGATATTGCCGGGACCGCTGTAAACACAGGATTGAAATGTACAAACAGTGTTCGGAAAATGAAGGCAAACATAACATTAGAACATATATAAACAAATTATATTCGATAAATCATAAGATATAACTTCTATTTAATGAAAACTGTTTAGAGAGAAAGCAAAGTCTTAGGGAAGATTTGATATAAATAAATAAATCATTTCATCCTTTTAAATCTATATGAATTGATAATTAGGATCTATCTATATATGAAAAACACATTTTTATCTATCCAATATCTTTAAATAAAATATTTTAAGAGTAAAATTTATCACACGCAAATCTAAACATCACATTAAAAAAACGATATAATGAATGTTTATATATTTATACAGTCATATAAATCAAATAGATATTATATATAATATATATATCTTCTATTTAAAGATCACTAGTATAATTCATAAAATTATTGGTTTTAATTAAAAATGAATATTATTTGATAGAAATATCTCAATATAGAGACAGTCTGTAAAAAATTTGACGTCTTATAAAATATAATTTATATAATTAGTAATACACTATTTTATGATTCATATCCAAATATGAAAATAAATAAATATACTCTTTAGATAATAGGATTTCTATCTATTGACAAAATATTTATTATATCTATCTATTTTCTAGATGATTTATCTATGGTTGTTCTATATATCTAAATACCTCATCCCGTATGACAGATATATATATATTGCTATTATATATTTAAATGATAACTATCTCAAGAACATTTATTTGAAATTAATCTATTCATCTATCTTTGGAATCTAAAAAAATCGTGTTCATTTTAATGAAATCATTTGTCAAATATTAACAGACAAGATTCTGTTTTGATTCCAATCATAATCTATCTATCTATTTATCTATCTATCATCTATATAATATATTAATATTTATTCATTCCCTATAAATTTTATTCATCTATCAATCTATTATCTATAAAATATATTCAACCGTCATTCATTTTGATTAGTAAAGAATTAAAATCTTTTGCTGAGTTTTATTCTATTTTTCATTTCTAAAATTCAATATTTATTTATACATTGATAAATTAATCGTATCTATCTATCTATCTATTCATCTATCTATCTATCTATCTATCTATCTATTCATCTATCTATCTATCTATACTTTCTATCTATCTATTGATAAATATTCATTATCTATCTATCTATTTATCTATCATTCATTCAATATTATCTATTTATTCATTCACCATTGGATCTATCTATCTATCTATTTAAAATTCATTATTCATTCATTCATCTATCTATCTATCTATATATATATTCATATATATATCTATCTATCTATCTATCTATCTATCTTGCTATATTTATCCATCTATATATATATATTATGTATATCTATTTTATTCATTTTTTATTCCAAATTATCCATCCATATGTCTATTCACATAATCCTATTTTTATCTATTAATTCATTCATCTATTGGTTTATCTATCTATCTATTAGATTATTTATAATCTATATTCATCTATATAATCTATATATCTATCTATCTATCTATTGGTCTATTATTATCGCTATTATTTATATTAATTTGTCTATCTATTCTGTTCATATCTATCTAAATTCTATCTATAAATTTTCCAAAAAATGAATATTTGAAATATATTCATATATATATATAATATATATATTATATATATTTATATTGTGTGTTTCACATTAAAAAGAAATTATAATCTTGCATATCTTATATTTATTTATATATAAATATATAGATATATATATATATATATAAAATGAAACTATATAATTTGACAACGTGATGCAAATAAATATATATTATTAAAAATATATCTATAAATATATAATATAATAAATATATATTTTAATAAAAATTTGTATTATATATTGAAATATTTTAAAAAAAATAATGTTGTATAAAATTCATATATATATATTTTTTTTAAATTATACTATTTAAATTCTCGATTAATTATATATTTATAAACATATATATATATTAAGAATATATATATATATATATATATTTATATAATATTTTAAAAAATTTATATATTTTTTAAATTTTTTTATTTATAAAATAAAAAAATTATTTCCAAAAGAATATAAACAATTTTTTCTCATTTTGAAAAAGTTATTCCTAATTATTGTTTTGAAAATTATAAATAAAAATATAAAAATTTATTTATATATATATATATATATGACTTATATATATACTATATATATATATATATATATAATTTGAATGGAAACCGGAAATCTTTTTTAAAAATGAAAACTTTAATGTAAATATATATATAAAAAAATTTAAAAGAATGCTTATGATTTTTTCTTTTTAATTTAAAAATTATTTTTATCTTTCATTTATATATAACTGGTTAATTAATTTAACATATATATTTATATTATTCTTTTATTATTAAATATTTAAAAATAATTATAAATAATATGTTATATATTTTATTATAATTTCATTTTCTTATATATAAAGATATATATATATATATATATAATAATATATATATATATTTTTTTTTAAATTTTTAAATAAATATTTAATTTTTGCGTTAACCATAAATTTAAATATTATAAATAAAATAGTAATATAAAACTCAAAATATATTTATATATATATATATATATTTAATATATATTTATTTATATTTATATATATCGTCAATAAATATGTAAATATTTTATATTTAAATATTTTTAAGTATTTATTTATATATATATTTAATATAATAATATAATATAAAATATATATATAATTTTCTGTTTATTTTATTCAAATTAAATATAATATATAAATTATGAATATTATATTTGATTTTTTCTGAAATCGATATAAATTTTTAAATATATTAAACATAAATTATATAATATATATTAATAAAAAAATTAAAATATAATAAATGGATTTAAATATAAATATTAAAATCTAAAATTTTTTTGATTCAACTTTTTATGATTATTTTTTATTTTTATTGATTTTTTTTTTTTTTTTTTAATTTTTAAAATTATTAATTTTTTAATCATTAAAAAATTTATTATATAAAAATTAAAATCAGAAAAAAAATTCCAGATTCATATTCTTGTTTTTTTTTATTATCATTTCCCATAAAAATTAATTTTTTTATTTTTTTATTTTCCATAATTTTTTTTTTTCTTTTTGAATTTAAAAAAAATAATTATTTAAATTTTTTTTTTTCATTTTCTTTTTAAAAATTTTTTAAATCAAATTTTTAAAATATAAAAAATATATATTTTTAAATTTATATTTTTAAATTAATTTTAAAAAAACTTTTAATTTTTTTTATAAAAAAAATAAAAAAATAAAAATTTTATTTTTTTTTTTTTATTTTTTTTTATATTATTTTTTTATTTATTAAATATTTATAAATATTTTTCATATTAATATATAAATTATTTTTATTTATTTCGATAAAATTTATTATTATAAATTTATAAATGAGCTATTTTAAATATCCATCAAATAAAATTTTTTTTTTATGTTTAAAAAATTATGTTTAAATTAAATGAATTTATTGATTTCTTTATTTAAAATATTTTTTTATTATTTTTTCATTTTTTTATTTTTCATAATTAAATTATAAATATTTATATTGTTTAAATCTTAAATTTATATATTTATAAAAATATATATTTTATTTAATTTATTTAATTTTTTAAATATCTTTTTAATATTTATATTTATTAGATAAATTTTTTTATTTTATATTTATAAAAAATTTATCATAAATTCTTCTTTTATTTAAAAAATATTTTTTTCTAAAAAATTTCTCTTTTGATTTTTTTTTTCATTATGAAATTTGATTTATGTTTATGAAAAATATTTATTTCTGATTTGAAAAAAGATTATAAATTTTGTTGGAAAATTTTTTGATGAATGAATGAAAAATTTATATTAAAAAAAAGAAAAAAATATAAATTTTAAATTAAAAATTATTTTAATAAAATTTTATATTTTGTATGTAATTTTATTTTATAATATTTATTTATGATATAATATTATTTTATTTTAATGAAACTTTTTTTTTTTATATATATATATAATATTTTTTTTTTTATTTAAAAATATATTATATAAATACATTTTTTAAATTTCAAAAATTTTTAAATCAAAAATAATTTTACTTCTTTTTATATTATGTTTTTATTATAATTGAATTCATTGAAAGAATTTTTTTTAAAATTTTATTAATGCATGCTTCTTTATATAATCAAAATTTTTTAGATTTTTTTGTATATCAACAAAATGGAAATTTCAAATTTTTTGTTTTTATTTATTTTTTATTTATATATTAATTTATTTTTATATAAATATATATATATTATATATATATATATATTCCTAATATATTTTAATATAAAAAATTTATAAAATAAAAAAAAAAAATATCAATTTTAATTTTTGAAAGAAATAAATCACTTTTTTTATTTTTCCATTTTGATTTTTAGTTAAAAAAAAATTTTCCAATAAACATTTTATATAAATTTTTTTAAAAAAAATAACAAAATTTATTAAGTATTCATAAATACCCAATTTTAATATAAATTTTAATATTTTTTATATATATATATATTATATATAAATATATATATTTAAATTTTAAATATTTAATAAATATATATTTTATAAATTTTATATTTAAGAAAATTTTTTTTTTTATTTTATTTTTTTATAATATAATAGTTTTTAAATATTGATTTTTTTTTCAATTTATTTTTTTATTTTTATAAATATTTTTTAAAAAAAATATATATATATATTTATTTAAAAAAAAAAAAAATCATTTTAAATGATTTTGTTTTTTTTTTCGAAAGAAATTTTTATTCTAGTTTAAAATTTTGATTTTTTTTGATTATAAATGATTTCAGGATATTTTTCAAAATTTTTTTTTTTTCAAAAATCAAAAATAAATTATTTGAATTATATATTTATTTTCTAAATTTTTAAAAAATAAATTCAAATAAAAAAATATTTTTGAAAAAATTAAAATAAAAAATCAAAATGTTATGATTTCTTAAAAAAAAAAAAATAAATTAAATCAAAATAAAAATCTAAAATAAAATTTGATTTTGAAACAAATTAATTTAAATAATAATTAAAAATAATTTAATAAAAATATATAAAAAAATATATAAAAAATATATTTTAAAATATATATTTTTTTAATTTTGATTTTTTTTTTTTTTTCATTATTGAAATAAACTGTTTTCATTTTTTACTATTATTAATAATTTGTTCCTTTTTTAATTTTATCAAAAAAAATTTTTATGAAATAAAAATTTCATCAAAAAATTTATTGTTTTTTTAAAAAAATTTTTTTATTAATTTTTTTTATAACAATCTGAAATTTTCATTTTTTATGAAAATGAAAAACATTTATATTTCATTTGTCATGTGTTAAATCAATTTTTTTTTTAAAATATAAATTTTTTTATTTTTTTTAATCTTTTTTTCCCATTTTATTAATAATCAAATTATTTAATAAATTAATTCTTACTTTAATTTAAAATATTTTTTTTTGATTTTGAAATAAAAAATTTTCATAATTTTTTTAAAATTATATTTTTTTCTATAAATTTTATGGTAACTGTAAATTTAAAAACTGATATAATTTTGTTTAATCAAAATTTAAAAATTCTAAAAATTTTGCATTTTTTTTTAAAATAAAATAAAAAATTTAAAGAAAAAATTTAAATTTAAAATTTTTTTAAAAAAAATAAGAAAATTATTTTATTAATTTTATTTTTTGATTTTAAATATTAAAAAAAAAAAAAGATATTAAATTTATCCGTTAAAAATGGTTTTTAAAAAAAAAAATATATTTTTTAATTTTTATTTAATTTTATTTAAAATATTAAAATATAAAAAAATAAATTTCTTTTAAAAAAATTAAATATATTGAAAATGTAATATAATTTATATTATAATATATATTAATTTTATTAATTTTAAAATACATATGAATATATTTTAATGAATTTTGTTATTTCTTTAACGTAAAATTAATTTTTTTTTTTTTCAAATTTTTTGTTTTTTTTATTATTTATTAAAAATATTTTTCATAATTTTTATTTTAATTTAATTCTTAAAAATTTTTAAAAAAATTTTTATTTTTTTTTATATTTATATCCATTTTTTTGTTTATTTTTGCATTAATAAATTTCATTTTAAATTTTTTTTTAAAAAAATAAAAAGAAAATTTTCACTTTTAATTTTTATATAAATCAAAATAAAATTTTTTTTTTTTTTTTTCATAAATTTTTTAAATTTTTTCTAAAATTCTTTTTTTTTTGTAAAATAAAAATCCCTTTTTTTATTTTTTTAATTGGTTTTCAAATTTTTTTGTTTTTTTTAAATTTTTGATTTTTTAAAAAATTTTAATTTTTTTTTTTTCAAAGAATTTTTTTTTTTTTTTTTCATTTTTATTATAAAATTTTATTAAGATTTTTGAAATTTTGAAAATTATTTTTTTCATTTTGATTATTCTAATTATAATTTTTTTATTTTTTATTTTTATTATTTTTATTTTTATTAATTATTATTTTTTTCATTTTATTATTATTATTATTATTATTATTATTTTTTTTTTCTTT